GGGGGGGGGGGGGGGGGATGGATCCGCCACTGCCGTTACTGACACCAATCAATCCGAATCTGAACCAGAACCAAGCATCAGCCTATCAGGCAGATCTAAAGGGAAGCCTTAAGTGGGAGGTTTTTATGGGAAGGAGGTGGGAGTAGTTCTCCGCACGCATAGTTTTTACAAGCTTCCCTCACAACGCCTGGATGAAAGCAGGGGAGAGAAGAGCGGAGACACCGGAGCCGCTGTTGCCTAACGTGGAAGGAAGGCGCGGGAAGAATGCCCTGACAGCTCCGCGGAAACTTTTCTCACCAGTCGCGCACGCGGAAAGCAGTGATCACCAGTTTGGGCGCACGTGAAGAAGGACTGTGGAGGGGAATCCGCGCGTGGTGCAACAGCCTCGAGTTTGCCTCAGGAGCGCAGYCTGAAATCAGCAGAGATGGGGATGAACTTCTCCTCTGGCTGGATATTCCGCGGCTGGATAGTCTTGTGCGTCCTTCTCATCTTTTACGCACAGGTAAAACGCGCTTYACCTTTTTATAGCTTAAGTTTGTTCTTCAGTGTTTATCACATAATGAAGTAAATGCCAAAACTTAGGTTAAAGTTGAGTTTTATTTAATTCCATTAATGGGTTTGCAATTTTTATTCTCTGCTGGTAATATAAAAGTAAACATCAGTGATGTGTGGTTTTTACGCACAACTGAAGACGTTATGTTTCAGGATCTCTCTCCACAATAACGCCTCTGGCAACCGGATGTTCCTGTTTAAATGCATCGTTAAGAACTTCACTGCAGGAATCAGTCCACGCCAGGCTCTTTAAACGATCACGTGCTCTTCTGCCAAAGGGAAAACTTCACTTTTAGGTTTTAAATTTTCATTTCAATAATGTTTCAGCTAATTAAGCGAATAAACCATGACATGTTGTCCAGTTCTGTTCCTGTAACAGCATCCAGGTGTGTTGGTTTATGAGATGTGGTTTCAGTGGTGGGACTGGTGGGCACCAGTGATCTAGGCGCTGCCTGAGTGTAAAACCAGCAGAGCTGTGCTTCTGACTGCAACCGACGCCCCTGCCTTCCACACTTTCCACTCTTCTTTTCCCAAAATGTGCTGAAAGAATCATGCTCGACTCAAAAGCATGCCCATGCACGGATCCAGACAAGTAACGGTAAATGGAAAGCAACAAAAACAGTTTTTATTTTTACAGGCAGTCAGATGTCTGGAAAAAGAGTCAGAATTTAGAAAGAGAGACACATTTTCCATCTAAATTTTTAGGTAACACTGCAAACCTTTGGCCCAGGCTTGTTCTCACGGTGGTCTCGCCATTCTTGACTCACAATATCCCGGTAGAATTCCCCCTGCAAATTGTAGGTTTTCATCCAATCCATTCCAAATTCCTTTCAAACTGACATTGAGCAACACGCATTACTTCAAGATGTTCACAGCTTTAGAGTGAATGCTCAAATCTTAAAAACACACTGTGGTTTAGTAGCTTTTGTTGACACAGTCCTTGCACCTCTAACCGTCCGGCTTTCATGCATGCATCCTTTGACTAAAGGTTACTCTCACATCTTTTCTTAAATATCTCTTAAGTGCGYCTTACTAGTGTCATTTCATTATAAGGAAGGCATATTTACCTGAAAAGCTCAACTTGAGTGACTGCAGTCAGCTGAAAGTTTTAAGAAGATGATAACTGAACTCTTGTAATCACAGCAGATCTGTGTAGAGTCTGGAGGAATTGTCTGAAACGACTATGTTAAGGTCATGTAACCAAAAAAAAAAAAAAAAAGCATTAGTGCAGATTGTGGTTGCTTAAGAATTTGTGGTTCTAATTTGTGCAATGACTCGAGTTTATGCAATCTAAATCTACTTTGTCTCTTTTATTCATAATGTTTTTTTATCCCAGTTTCTTTAATTTTACTTGCTTTTCTTTACTTCCTTTTATTTCATTTTTCGGTTGAAAACACTCTCTTTACTTTGCAAAAAGAAATTCCCTGTAGGGTTTGTAAAAAAAAATCTGTTTCCGGCGCTTCTTTGGATTTGTTTTATGACTTTACATAAATTATTCCCAGGTGCAAACATCATCCAAAGATTTAGCTGTTGGGCAATATGTTTTACAACACCTTATCACAGATCAGTCTCTCTCTCTCTTGGCTCTGTGCCTATGACTGCTGCAGCCGTTATGCAAATTCTCTGGTCCTCTGGGACCAAATGGAATGCACTCACTGCCTCGGTCATGTCTGATGGGATTGCATGATGGATGTTTTTTTTTATTTTTTATTTTTAGTATTTTTCAATAAGTAAAATATCCAGGAAGAAGATGATAGAGATGATGTAGTTTACAAATATGACAGAAGCAGGAGAACTCTGAGTGCCTCTTTGTTTTTTTGTGTGTATTTTATTCCATGCAGACCTTCCCTCTTTTTTTTCTATTTGACTATTTTYCATTTCCTCCTGCTTTTTGTTGAAAATTCATACATTTGTTATTTCATATTTTATCACAACGACAGACAGTTCTCAGGTTGGAAGTTCTGTTTTTACCCTTTTCGACAAGGTGTGTTTCCTATAGGTCATCAGTTAAAATTTGATGAGTCTGCATATTTTTAAAAGTTCTCTTTTATTAACAGCCATGCTAACTTTCTTCACTCACCAAATTGTTATTTTTTTATTATTATTACTTTCCCAGGCCTTTAAGTCTTTGTGGGCTGGCAGCTTCCCTCAGAGATCAGACCAGATGTGTGAATTACCGTAAACTGTAGAAAAGCTGTGCCACTTAAAATGAATTGCTGTAAATAGGGG